TTATATTCATTTAAGTTTGTAAATAATTTATTTATATCATGCAATCTATTATTAATCTCATGCTATGTATTCATTTCAGAAATATTTCTCTAAAATTCACTGTCTACATCTTATATATTTCACATTTCAATGTTTGCCTACAATTTTAATATGCTATGTAATTACTGATTTTCAATAAAGTTAATTAAAAAAGATATTAACTTAGTTTAGTTTTTGTTCATTTGTTTGTTTTTCCTGTACTGAGCCTTGAACCAAAAACCTTCACAAAAGTTACATCCCATTATTTTATTAATTCTGAGACAAGGTCTCCCTAAGTGGCTAAGTTGCTTATACTGGGTTTGAACTTGCCAGCCTCTTAGAGTGTTGAGCTCACTTGCCCGTATCACCAAACATGGCTTCATTTAACTTTTTTAAAAAGATAAAGGAGGCACTGTCTCCAAACAACAACCCTGAGGTAGTGTATGCAGCCTGTTGCTTATACGGGCTGCTTAAGGGACATGGGAGACTCTGTTTTCTGGTGGATGTTCCTGTCTGACATTCTTCTGTTCCCCAATCTAGGCTCCAGACAAACATGTGGGGTGCCTTCGGGAAGCCCTAGGTCATAGTGGCAAGGGTTCACATTGTGTTTGGGGGTGGGTTTATTTTTTGTTTTTTTGGTGGTTTTTGTTGTTGTTGTTTTTGTTGTTGTTTGAGGGGGTTCTAGTACCAGGAATCAAACTCCTGACAAGGACCTTGCATAACAAGGGGCATGTGATCGAGGCCCTATGCAGAGCCAGGTTCAAGTTCCCTGGTAGCCACAAGGTGTATCTCTCCAAGAAGTAGGGCTTTACCAAGTTCAGCGCGGAAGAATTTGAAGACATGATGGCTGAGAAACATCTCTTCCCTGATGACTGCGGGGTGAAATCCACCCATAATTGCAGTCCCCTGGACAAGTTGTGTGCCCTGACCTCCTGAAGGCTTCCCCTGTGTGCCCCCCGCCTGCACTGACAAGCTTATCAATAAATTTTAATGCTATCCCTTCCCCAAAAAAGCTAATGAGAGCCAATCTTGGACTTGAAGAGCTGTGAAGAAGATACAGGAAAAGAGGCTGTGCTCAGATACAGGAAGTGAGAAGGTGAAAGCCCGGATGTCAGACACTCACACCACCCTTGAGGAAGGAAGGAGGGACACACGTGGACAATGGAGAGGGGACACTTGGCAAGACAGGACCCCGCCTCCTCAGCTCCTTCCCCACAGTCCTCTGCACATGACACAGGCCCAGAGAACACAAAGGAATCTTGGCCATCAGTTGTTTTCAAACAGCAAACAAGTCATGTGTGTACATGCACAAACACACCTTCACAACTGAGTAAAACCAGACTCGCATCCAAACCCATTGAGTCTTCTCAAGTGACATCAGGCATCAGACCTCTGGCAAGGAGGGATGGGGGTGATCTGATGTCGGCTCAACCTTGCCCCTTTGCTGTTTGGGTCTTGCCCCAGACCATCTGCAGGACATTTCTAGGTTCCTAGCCCACATCCGGCCCGCCTCAGGCAGGAAATGAAGTGTGTGCTGAGGGAACACTCATTTCCATTTAGTGCCCTGACGGTGCTCAGTGAGACACAAAAGCTGTTGTCCCCATTGCTAATAGTAAAATGGAAGCGGAGAGAGGCGCACAGCCTGCCCAGCGAGACCCAGCTGGGGGTGACCCAGCCACCTCACGGCCTCCAATTTCTCTGGTCTCTGAAATCCACGCCCTTTTCCCAGGTCCTGGAATGGTCAGGAAACTGTGACATTCCCTCCCTTCTTGTGCCCAGAGTGGCCCCTTCTTGTCCTTCTGCTCAGGTTTTTCTGACACCTGCTAAACTCAGGTCAATTCCACCCCTCTGGGCCCCTCCACTGCAACATCTCTTCCTCCCTGGAGGATGGAGGGACATCTGGCGGGGTCGTGGTCAGGAACAGCAGATGCTCAAGAAATGGACGCCACTGAGGCTCCTTGGAGAACGAAGTCCCCAACTCAGGGGAAGGGTGTTCCAGCACTGTCCAGACTCTTCTCAGTCTCAGCCACCTAATAGCCAAGGGCCCAAAGCGGGGAGAAGGAAGAGGAAAAGGAGGAGAAGAAGGAGGAGGATGACTGAGAGACAAAGAAGTTACCCTTAAGGGCCCAAAAGTAGAAGTCAAAGGTCAGCGGCACCCTCATGCTCATCTCCGAGTAGAGCTGGGATTCACAGAGCAGAAAGCAGGGCTGTAAAAACTCTATAGAAGTCTCTGATCTTGGCAACTTTGTCATTCTGTTTACGTCTCCCTCCTCTGACTATGTTCCCTCAGTAATTAGGAGGGTTATAACTTCTAAGACAAGTTAGATATCATTGCAGTCTAGGAAGAGAGGAAAGAAAAAGTGAGATAGCAAAATACAGGATTTAGAAATTCTGAGTTTGAGGAGGACAGAACTACATAAGAACTGAATGTACACTGGCGGTGACCTCCCAGAACAGTACCATCCAGTGGTTCAAAACACAGATTAAAGGCAGAAGACCAAAGCCCCTGTTCTGCGTTGCCGCCAGCCATCTGAGACCTGGGCATGTTATGCATAAGGATTCTAAAACGTTTGCAGGCACTGGTGTGGCCACTGATCAAGGTCTCGGTGAGCGGTGGTCACTAACTAGCACTGTTTTGTTACTGTGAAGGAGGCTGAACCCTGGAGGCCTGCAGGACTCAAGGGGAGGCTCAGGGGAGGCATGAGGCCCAGGGAGACCTTTCCAGGGCCCCTATGGTCCCCACGAGGAGGGCCATCCCCTCACACACTACTCCAACCACTCCCACTTCCTGGTTTCTCTTGAGTCACCCTTGAGTGGGGCTAACAGGTGTTTGGCATCTTCCTCCCCCACTAGGAAGCTGTGCGACCCTGGACAGGCTCATCTCCCCCTCTGCACACCCGCCACCTCATCTGTACAGTGAGGATACTCACCACACACTCTCTAAAGTCCTACACACTTGGGGGCACTTACAGATTCCAGAATTCACGTGTAGGTGGCAGAGGCGTTTATTGTTTGGAACATATTGTCAAAAGGAATAGGCTTCCCAGATGGCTCCTCGGCCCCCCAGCCACCCACCCCCATCCCCGAGTCCCCTCCTTGAAGGCTGATAAATACTAGAACCTGCCAAGTCCCTCCTGAGTCAGGCAGCCCCTTCCTGGAGGAACCACCCTGAGTCTCAGCAAGCGTAGCTAAGGGCTCAGACACTCAGAAGGTAGGATGTGCAGTAAGACTCCACTCGCACAGGGCCTGGCTTCTGATCTGCCTGCTGGTTTCCTCAGCTCTTCTCCCAGCCCTCTCTGACATTCTCAAGATTCTGGCGTAGGATCCACTGGAATTGTGAGCAGCTGCTCACCAGCTTCCTTGAACAACAAGTTCCTTCAGCTGTCAGGATTCCTGACTTGGGGTTTCCCAGTCTGTCAGAGGGGTCTCATCACGAGCTATTGCCATCCAAGAAAGCACTAAAGGAGATGCCAGCACTAAAGGGGACACAGGCACTGCGATTACTGAGAAGCACCTTGCTGTTGTGGTTTGTGTCTAGTTGTCCCCCCAAAGCCCCGTGTAAATTATGGGGCAGATGCAGCTGGAGGAGCAACGGGTGGCCTGAGGGGCGGGGCCAGAGGATGGGGCGGGGCCAGAGGGGCGGGGCCAGAGGACCAGGGCGGGGCCAGAGGGGTGGGGCCAGAGGGGCGGGGCAGGGCCTCAGGGGCGGGGCCAGAGAGGTGTGAATCATTAAACTGGCTCACCTGTGCTCACTCAGAGGTGTGGAGTGGGTCATCCTAGACATGCAGCGCCCCAGCCTCTCCTCCAGTGTCTTGAAACCTCCATTAACTGTGAGCTAAATAAACCTTTCCTTCTCTCTTTTTGAGTGTCGGGTATTTGTCCCAGCAACAAGAGTAACTAATGCACTTGCCAAAGGTGAGAGTTCCAATTTGCAGCTGCAGAGCGAAGCTTATTGGAGGAAAGGGGGTCTACGTTGGTCTGCTCTGTGTACCCGGTACCCTAAGCACAGACTCCGGGTACCCAGTACCCTAAGCACAGATGGACTAAACCAGCTTCATGGCCAAGTGGTCTCCTCATAGCTGCAACTGCAAATACTGGCTGCCGAGCACGACAGAGAAGCAGTTTGCTTTATAAAACTATGTCCCCAAAGCTCATACACCAGGGTGACAATGCTGGGCCCAACTTCTCAGTTGAGCACGGGAGTTTTGAAGCCACCACCCACTAACCCCAGTCGTCAGTGGTCACACATAAAGGGACTGGTGATGAGGAAAGAGGGAATAGCTGTGCCCTGGGTCAGGACCCCAGGGAGGCAAATTCCTCATATGGTCAGGTCACCCTTCAGGATGGATGTGCACACACACGTGCAAAAGTATAGCATGGGACGTGAAGACACGACGCATCCTCACCTCTGTCTGTGCTGTTCTTGTCTTTCCATGGCTTCTCTGGTATCTGCATCAGCATGTGTGGGACTTTTTCTCCCTGCTCAGGCATAACCCTGAGAGAAGAACCCTGGCTCACTCCACTCTGTGGCCTCCTCGGTGGCCAGCACAGAAGTGGCCAGTAAGCATGTGCCTCAGAGAAGCACCGTGAATGCCAGAACTAAGATGACACAACTGGGCAAGACGCCCCCACCTCTGAGGCCAGCAGCCTCCTTGGGAGGACAGGACACTGGGGCACGCTCGCCCAGACCGATGGACACACACACCCTCCCAGCCAGGGACCTTGCTCTTTCAGAGGCTGTTACTAAAACTGGACCTCACACCACAGCAACCGTCGCAAGACTGCCCGGAAGGTCAGCTGCAGGCAGCGTGGCTTTCAGACTCGCTCGCTGGCCTCAGCCCCTGCATGTGGTTTGCAGCCAGCCCCTCCTCCAGAGGGCGGCTCTGCCTCCGTAACCGAAATGCCCCTCCCCCAACCTACACCTCACTCCCAAGGTAATGGTTTTGGTTGAAGGAAACAACCCAGTAAACACTGGGTAGCATTAGTGGAAAAAAAATATTTTAGAATTAGACATCTAACTAGACCTTACACTTATCTCAGTGTGAGTCTCCAACTTATAGTTATGTGATCTTCACTGAATTAACCTGTATAGTCCTCAGCATTCTTGTCAGTAAAATGGGAAGGGTGACATAGCGCTAACGCATGCCTATTAAAGCTTAACTATTTCAGATCACCATGCCCTCCTGAGTTGGTCACCACAGACGCAAAGACTCACAGCCTCTTTCCCGCGCAACCAAAGAATGTCAGTGGTCCTCTGGCCATCTCTCCTTATGCACTGCAGACAAGAGTTGGACAACCTGCCCCCTCCAAAGGAACCTAGGGGTGTCTCCCTTAGTGTAAGACACTCTCCCTTCCTTGCTGTAACAGCCCACCCCAGTTAAAACACTGGAACATCAGAGCCATGGGGAGACACATCTTCCATCTTGCTAGTGGTTTACAAATATTTACCTTTTATTTTATCAGGCACGAATTGAAAAAGAAATTTTCCAACT